TAAAGATTTACGGCCTCGGAAACCCTGTACAGGGTTGCTATGACTCAAAACTGACTCCATGGCACATAACCACCACCACCAGACTTGAAGTGAAGGACATATTTCCCATGCCCCTGGGGTTGGGTGTGGTAGTAGGAAATGCACAAACTCTCTCTAAAAGGTCTCTCACCAGATCTTCTCCCTTCTGACTGTTTTGTACATCTGATGGGTTTGGATTTGCTATGAGTCGCTGAGTCGGAAGCTACTCGACAGCACTTAACAACAGCAGTGAAGATACATTCCACCCATCTGTCTGTGTGTTGTACTGTAGTGGCTTGCATGTTGCTGTGATGCTAGAAGCTGTACTAGAGGTATACCAGCAGGGTCATCCACGGTGGCTATGTTTCAGTGATACAAAGACAAAGACAGGAAGAAAGATGTGGTCACAACAGAACATTATCCAGCTTGTCAATCACTAGAGGATGACGTCATGTTTAGTGAAGGATGGGACTAATGAAGCAAGGGAGATGCTTGGTGAGATGGACTGGAACATGCCTGTGACCATGAGGATGACTGGGCAATGTTTCATTCTCTTGTACACAGGAAGGCAGCTATATATCTACATAGTGAAAGTACAATTGCAATGAGATCTTAAGTGGAAGTTTCTAGACACTAAGGCTAGGTATAAAAAATAAGTGAGTTTCAAGTCATGCCATCTTCCAGAATTTCAAAGCAGGTGCTTCAGAATAGGTTAGGTAATTTAAACACCAATCACAGAGTTTACTATACTTGCTCACAGCCCATTATCATGACATTAACTATCAACTGCCGAACCACTGGGCATCTTGGTCTAGTCAAGTTGATAGAACCTTAATCAGCACAGCCCCCATGGCATTCATGTGTTTACTCAGTCTTCATATGCTTACCATTACAGGCATTTTTGATATAGTGGAAAACAACACAAACCAGTCCCCAGCTTTTGTGGTGTTGACATTCTAATGATTAGAGATCATCAATCATTCAATCAATAATCAAACAAGAAAAATACGAGATAACACCCAGTATATATAAGGAGTTCTGGTAGCATAATGGTTATGAGTCAGGCTGCTAACCTCAAGGTCAGCAGTTCGAAACTATCAGTGGTTCTGCAGGAGAAAGATAAGGCTTTCTGCTCCCGTAAAGATTTACAGCCTCAGAAACTCTATGTGGGGTCGCTATGGGTCAATACTGACTCCACGGCATATCATCATCACCACCATCATCACCACCACCGCTATGGAGAGGATTCAAATGTGCAGTTCCTTTAGATGAAGCACTCTGGGAAAGCCACTTTAATGAGGTGACTCTTAAACTGAGATTTGAATAAGAAGAAAGATCCAGCTATGGGAAACGTTCCAGGCTGGCATGAAACTGGTACAGCTAGAATCAGTTCAGTGTGTTCAAAAAACAAAAGGACACGATTTCTGGAATACAGGTGCAAGATGAAGTCCAAGAGTTTGGCAGGAGCCCAGTCATGCAGGACTTAGAGTTGTATTTTCTTCTATGTACATTGGGACACCATTGGAGTTACAGCAGAATCATTCTTAAAGATTCAGATTTCTTTAAGATTGTTCTGGAGAAATCTAAGTTGTCAATTTTACAAAAATTGTGCAAAAAAGGCAAATTATATATGGTTTCTTCCATTCATAAACTGGAACTCTGAACATGTTTACTATATATGTATGTATATATAAAGATTGTTCTGGTTACAAAGTGAAGAACTGATTTTAAAGGAAGCAGGGAGTATTCTTGGAGACAATTACTCTAATTTAAAAAATTATAGTACCTTGAGCTAAGGTGATGGTTGTAAGTGACCATTGGATTTGGCGAATTTGGAACAGGACTTTGAACTGGTTCAGAACAATTCAGTCATGGCCAGCAGAAACAAGGACAGTGTTGACAACCAAATCTCTTTCATGTTGGATTTTCCCCCAAGTAGGAAACAGGCAGTGATGTCCTGTTCAAAGATGGTGGCCGACCTGCTGCTTTGAATGCTTGTCAACCACCATCTTTGATAGGGGCACCGCTGCCTGTCTCCTGTTGTTAAGTGCTGTGGAATTGGTTTCAACTCCTAATGACCCTATATAGGATTGCTGGGGAGCAGCTGTTGGATTTGAACTGCTGATCTTGTGGCTCAAACTGATCTTGCGGTCCAGTGCTTACCCTACAGTGCCACACCAGGACCCCTACTCGGTATAAGAGATTTGGTTGCTATGCAATGCAAACACTGCCCTTGTTTCCATGACTTGTTGACCACGACTAAATCTTTTTGAACGGATTCAAGCCCTGATTTGAACACCTGGCAACACAGTAGAACAGTTGAGAAGAGCCTAATTGGAGTAGCTTAGTGAGAGAACGGAGTCCTGGTGTGTTGCTGTACAACAAGCACTGGACTGCTAACCACAAGGTTGGCAGTCCAAATGCACCAGTCACCCTTGGAAACCCTTTAATAGAGTCACTGTGAGTCAGAACTTAACAATTTTAACAGTGAGAGATGAGGAAATAATACCATAATAGAAACTTATACTTCCGATAGTTTCACTGTGAGGGGAACAGAGAGATGCAGTAAAGGTGGATGTGGGTCAAGGGAAATTTATTTAAGAAAGCTTATCTTCAAATATATAAGGGGGTTGTTTAGTTGATTCAGGAAGCTGATAATGCAGATATGCATTAGAATGCAGGTGAGAAATAGCTTTGTAAAATACTATATAGGAAGTTGTACGTGTACATATTGAAGTAGAGATTAGTAGTCATTACAAAAGTTACATTCCATCTTCATTCCATTTCATACAGGGTTCCACTGGGTTTCCACGCTCAAGGTGAGGAATCAGGATGCATTAAGTTGTTAGGTGCTGTGGAGTCAATTTCTACTCAAAGTGACTCTATGAACAACAGAATGAACACGACTCAGTCCTGTGCCATCCTCACAATTGTTTGAACTCATTGTTGTTGCCACTGTGTCAGTCTGTCTCACTGGGGTCTTCCTCTGTTTTGCTGATCTTCCTCTTTTTCAAGCATCGTCATATCCTTTCCAGTGATTGGTCCCTCCTGATAATATATCCAAAGTATGAGACACAAAGTCTCACCATCCTCACTTATAAGTAACTTTCTGTTGTACTTCTTCCAAGAGAAATTTGTTTGTTTTTCTGGCAGTTCAATATTCTTCTCCAACACCATAATTCAAAAGCATTGATTGTTCTCCAGTCTTCTTTATTAATTGCCTATATATCACATGTATATGAGGCTACTGAAAATACCATGGCTTGGGTCAGGCACACCTTAGTCCTCAAACTAACAGCTTTGCTTTTTAACACTTAAAAGAGACCTTCTGCAGCAGATTTGCCTAATGCAATACATTGTTTGATTTCTTGACTGCTGCGTCCATAAGCACTGGTTGTGGATTCTTTGACAACTTCAACCTTTCCTCCATTTTTCACGATGTTATTTCTTGGTCCAGTTGTGAGGATTTTCATTTTCTTTACACTGAATTTTACTTACAATTCATACTGTAGTCTTTGATCTTCATCAGTAAGTATTTCAAGTCCTCTTTGCTTTCCACAAGCAGGGTTGTGTCATCTGCATATTGGAGGTTGCTAATGACTCTTCCTCCAATCCTGATACCATGTTCTTTCTCATATACTCCATCTTCTTGTATTATTTGCTCAGCATACAAATTGAAAAGTATGGTGAAAGGATGCAACCCTGACACATGTCTTTCCTGATTTTACACCATTCATTATTCCCTTGTTTTGTTCTCCTGGTCTATGTATAGGTTCCTCATAAGCACAATGAAGTATTCTGGAATACTCATTTTTCACAGTGTTATCCATAGTCTGTATGGTCCACATATATAGTCAAATGCTTTTGCATAGTCAACAAATCACAATATAGTAGATTATAGTAGAGACACAATATAGAGATTATAGTGGTAGACATGGTGGTAATGTGCCTTGGAGTTGGTTCCAACTCATAGTTACCCTGTATAGGGTTTCCGAGACTGTAAACCTTTACAGGAAAAAAAATATCTTTACGGGAGCAAAAAGCCTCATTTCTCCCATAGAACAGCTGGTAGCTTCGAACTTCTGACCTTGAGGTTAGCAGCCTGACTCGTAACCACTACAGAAATTAAATTATAATTTCTACAGAGCCCCTTAGAAATTATAATAGAAATCTCCTTTCGTGTTCCTTGGTGAGGAACTGGAAATGTATCATGCCTGGTTTATTGGAGTTCCACGGTATAAATCTAATATTTGAATCTTAAAAAGTTACAGCTGTAGATTAAACTCATGGACAAATCCTTCCTTAGCCTTAGAAATGGAAATTGACATGTTTGTTATTTTGACAGGAATACAAAATTTCGAGCTTTGAGCAGAGGCTAATGAATGAAATAGAGTTTCGCTTGGAACGTACCCCAGTTGATGAATCAGATGATGAAATCCAACATGATGAGATTCCTACTGGCAAGTGTATTGCTCCCATCTTTGACAAAAGACTCAAACATTTCCGGGTCACAGAAGGTTCTCCAGTCACATTCACCTGCAAAATTGTTGGAATACCTGTTCCAAAGGTAGGAAAGGTGGCCTATCAGTGTGCCAACCAACAGCCCTTAACTATACACAATGTCTTCAAGAAAGTATTATCAGACTCTCTAAGTTTCTACTGAGGAAATAAAAAACAATACCAGGAAATTATCAAAGACCAGACCTTTTGACTAGCAGGAGACCATCAGGAATACAATTGTTAAATAAATAAAAAAAAAAGAAATATACCAAAAAAAGAAATATGACTGTAGGCAAATAAGAATTTTAATAAAGATTTAAGATTAATTTCTATTTTGGGCTATTGATTCTTATTCATCAAATTCTCTAAATTGCGATATTTCCATTTGCTATGTATTGTATGAGGAGTCCTGGAGGCACAGTGGGTTAAACATTGGACTGCTAACAGAAAGAGTGGCAGTTCAATCCCACCAGCTGCACTGTGGAGAGAAAGATGAGGCAGTCTGCTTCCACAATGATTGAATCTTGGAATCCCGAAGGAGCGGTTCTACTCCATCCTGCAGGGTCATGGTGACTAGGAATTGACCCACAGCAGCGGGTTTGCTTTCTGGTTTGGTATTTATTGAACATCTACAGGATGCCTGTTGTTTTACTAAGTGAGCTATAATTCTATCATTACTATTAGATCAGTAAATTCTGAAAATGTCCTACTATTATTGCAGGCTGCTGAAAAAACTCTTCTGAGTCACCCAATTTTCTGGCAGCCAGCTGAGAAAAGGATTTACACTCAGTGTGGGCTGTGGTAGGGCATCGCTCCATTCTCCTTTCACAGACATTAGCAGGGTGTTATCATGGATGGTTGGGTAATCAGGAGACGTAGAGGATGCCAGCTGCAATGAGTACTTTATCCTCCCCATGTCTTTGAAAGATCTTGACACTTGCGAAATTTGACATGATAACTTAACATATTTGCATTTTAGCTTAGTGAACAAATCTACTTGCTAGAATCCTTTCAAGGACCCTGCAATTTGTAAATGCAAGAGACCTGAGCTTGTACATAGGATAGTGGGGAAAGTCCCAGGCTCCTGATTTTCATTATTTGCCTCTGAAAAAATGCCAGGTTCATAGTGCAATATTTTAAGTACTTGTACTAAAAAAAAAAAAAAAAAGTATATATATATATATATATAAAAGCTCTATTCTAAATTATGCTAGATTTTTGGTTTAAATATTGTGTATGCCTAAGTGTGAGATATTCTAACTAAGGTTTGTAATTTTCAAGTGCCTCATAAGGGTCACTATTGTAGAGATGGCAATTTGCCCTTTCCCACTCTACTCCTGCCTTCATTGCCCTCTAAAGATGTATCAAACTGGGTGTATTCCCCTTGACTATCTTTCATTTCAGGTTTACTGGTTCAAAGATGGAAAGCAGATTTCTAAGAGAAACGAACACTGCAAAATGCAGAGAGAAGGAGATGGCACGTGTTCTCTCCACATTGAGTCTACCACCAGTGATGACGATGGCAACTACACCATCATGGCGGCCAACCCCCAGGTGGAGAGACAGGGTGGTCAATGTCATTGCGAATGAAACCTTGAGGTTGCAAGTTACCAAGTTACTGAGGAAAATGAATGAGAAACGTTGTGATTGTGTGTAACTAAAGCTTAAGATCACAATTTAAAAGATAAGTTAGCCACTGATGAGTTATCAACCCTTCAACATTTTCAGAGGAAAGTACCCATTCACCTACACACACTCTCCAGACCTGTTGGGATAAATCTTGTATTTATTGGCTCATTGACCCTCTTGAAGAAGATGTTGTCTACCAAAGAATGATTTGCTGTTTTTGTTCTTTAGAGACAAGGCAAATTATTTCACAACGACTTATAAATGTCCCTCAAATTCATAATACAAAATTATCTTTTTAAAATCAATTTGGAAAGCCATAATCTTTCATGTACCTTTTCTGGATAAAGTTAAGACTCAACATTCTCCTACAAGATATGGCAGAGGAAATTTCTTCAACAACTAATCAAATGGTGGTGGTGGTTGTGTGCCATGGAGTTGGGTCTGACTCCTAGCAACCAGTATAGGGTTTCAGAGGCTATAAATTTTTACAGGAGCAGAAAGCCTCATCTTTCTCCTGGTAGTTTTGAACTGCTGACCTTGAGGTTAGCAGTCTGACTCATAACTACTATGCTACCAGAGCTCCTTAGCAATTTGAATAGGAGGTACTAAAGTATAATTTCTGCTCTCATCCACTCATCATATTGCAATGTTAGTTTTGGAGATTATTTCTGTTGAGGAAAGTGCAAAATACCTGGCCATTGTCTCTCTGCATGTGACTGTAAATAATATTAACTGCCCAATAATTCAAGTATTTTATTTTACATGTGTCTTCTGTTCTTTTCACAGCTTAAAAATGAGAGTTACTACATTATTGTTTAAACAGTGACTTTTGGAGTCACAGATTACCATTTTAATTTCTTTAGAAAACAAAACAAAATTCTGACTAGTTAGCGAAAGATTCATGATATTCTGGTTCAGAGAAGATTTATGTACATTGGGGGGAAATGTGAGCGTCTTCTCATTTTAATCTTCTTGTTTGTTTTCTGTTTCTCAGGGGAGAATCAGTTGTTCTGGTCACTTGATGGTACAAAGTTTGCCCATTCGTAGTCGGCTATCCACAGCTGGTCAGTCTCACAGGTAAGAGCAATTAGAATCCCCCTTCTCTACCATCCTCCACCACAGTAGTGTGTCTGCAAATTGGAACTCAAGGTCTGTTCCTCTGTCTGCATCAGCAGCAGCATCTGGGAGCTTGTAGAAATCCAGGCCTCACTCCACAGCTACTGAGTCGAATTTGCATTAAAACAACATCCCCAAGTGATTGATTTATAAGCACATTAAAGTTTGGGAATCTTTGATCTGTAGTACACTTTCAACTTTCCCAAATATTTGTAACCATCAGTATGCACACAATGTATAAATCAGATCTTTTAATCACCATCATCTTTAATAAAACAAAAGTGACTTAAATTATTGGCAGTTGTATGCTGTGGAATTGGTTCCGACTCATAGCGACCCTGTACAGGGTTTCCGAGGCTGTAAATCTCTACAGGAGCAGAAAGTCTCATCTTTCTCCAGAGGAGCAGATGGCAGTTTTTGAACTACTGACCTTGAGGTTAAAAAAAAAATGTTTTTTTAACTTGTTGGTCCATGTCTTCAGTTTAATAATTGGCTTTCTTCCTCTCTGATTTTACTAACCACTAGGGGGAGTCCTGGAGTCCTGGTGTGGTGCTGAGGGATAATGTGCTGAACTGCAAGATTGGGTTGAACCGCAAGGTCAATGGTTCAAGCTCACCAGCTGCTCCTGGGAAACGGCTATACGGGGTCGCTATGTGTAGGAACTGACTCAGTGACACTTAACAACAACAACAAGAAAAAAGAGCCTGACTTTCCCTTGAATCTTCTAGTGCAACGAAATCATAGTGAAGTATTCTATAGTTGTTGATATGAATGACTAAAATGTGACTTACCAATGGTACAAAAATAGTGACCCCTGTTTCAGATTCATTATTTCATCACCATTGCAACTATACCTTCTTTTCTTTGTTGTTTTAAGAACAGCTGTTTTTATAGGTCAATATTAATCCAGTTTAAATTCACGGTCATTTTTAATGATCTGCCATAATTTAAACTGTATTATTCAGAGAGGGATTTCAGCTGCCTTGTTCTGGGTAGTCAGCAGTACTTCTCTCTTTTGGCTCCCATTTGAAGTTCAGATTGAATACTGATTTATTTGTTGATTTTGAAGATTTTTAAACAACTGGTCAAACCCATGGTGAGGGGAGCTGAGCCGCTTAACTCAGAATGACTTTAGAAAGAAAGAAGCTAAAGGTCATTTATAGGATTACAGGCCTCACAAGAGAATCCTATAGTATATGAGATACTTACCAATTTGATTTTATACATATATATATATATATCCACCCCATTCTCTTTATTATTTTATAGTCCAGCAACAACCAACCTCATTCCCCCAACTCTTCACCCCTCAAAGAAATAAACCAACCAACAAAAAAAACATTCTCCTGGCTGCATCTAAAATCCAGACCAGCTGCCATCCAGACAATTCCACTTCATGGCAACTCCATGTGTACCAGAGTAGAATTGTACTCTATTAGGGTTTTCAGTAGCTGTTTTTTTCTGAAGTAGATTGAGGTGCTTCTGAGTGGATTCAAACCAGCAACCTTTCCATTAGCAGTCCAGTGCATCAATGGTTTGTACTGGTGACTCCCAGACCCCATGATGTTGTTGCTAAGCGCTGTCGAGTTAGTTCCGACTCCTAGCAACCCTTTATAAATAGGGTTTCTCAGGAGCGGCTGATGGCTTTGAGCTGCTGATCTTGAGGTTAGCAGACTAGTGCTTATCCATACAGCTCCACACCAGGCCTCATGTTGCTGTTGTTAAATGCGCTCAGTGGATTCCAACTCAGAGCAACCCTGTACAGGGTTTCCCAGGAGGGATTGTTGAGTTTAAATCGCCGACCTTGCGATTCAAAACAATCTTTTGGTCCAGTGCTTTATCCCACAGCGTCACTCCAGAACTCCATCTATGCCTCTTGTCACAAGTTTGTAAATTGGTTTCTACTTCTGATGCCTGAACATGGTTGTTTTACAGGGGAAGGTCCCGAATGCAAGAAAGAGATAAAGAGCCCCTACAGGAACGCTTTTTCCGACCACATTTTCTACAAGCTCCTGGTGATATGGTGGCTCACGAGGGCCGCCTCTGTCGGCTAGACTGTAAGGTAAATTCTAGAACCATCTTTGATTCCAGATCTGTTTATATGTTGCATTTATTTCTGTTTGTATTTGTTTTGTGATATTTTTTTCAGGGAATAGGAGAATGGAGAGGTTGTTTTTTTTTTTTCCTGCTTAATAAAACTGTCTGAACTATTTAATTTTTTTAACCTTAGACAATACCACATGACAATGTTTTATTTAAAAAATTAATTCTTATCTAGTCAGAAGGGGGCAGTTCAAACCCACTCAAAGGTACCTCACAAGACAGGTCTGGAAATCTGCTTCTGAAAGATCAAAGTCTTTGAAACCCGGGTGAAACAGTTCCTCCCTGACACATCTGAGGTTGCCATGAATCAGCAACATCTAACAAAAACAAAATCTTAATGAAAATTACATCATTCAGGCATTTTCTATATGGTGCCTGTAAAGTCTTTTTACTATAAAACCAAAAGTGTATTTTTAATATCCTTGTAGTGAATTGTTGTACCATTAGCCTTTGAAAGAATTATATAAAGATGGTTTCAAAACTAGTTATGAAAACAGTTGGTTTCTCATACTAATCAACCTCCATCATCTGTTGTTGTTGTTGTTAGGTCCCATCAAGTTGGTACCGACTTATAGTGACGCTATGCACAACAGAACGAAACACTGCCCGGTCCTGGGCCAACCTCACAATTACTGCCACACTTAAGCCCATTGATGCTGCCACTTTGCCAGTCCATCTTGCTGGGGGTCTTCCTCTTTTTTTCTGTCCCTCCACCTTACCAAACATATCTCTCTCCAGTGACTGGTCCCTCCTGACAATATGTCTGAAGTATGAGAGACGAAGTCTGGCCATCCTGGCCTCCAAGGAGCACTCTGGCTGCACTTCTTCCAACACAGATCTGTTGGTTCTTTTGGCAGCCCATGGCACTTTCAATATTCTCCTTCAACACCATAACTCAAATGCACCAATTCTTCCATGATCTTCCTTATTCACTGTCCTACTTTTGCATGCATATGAGGTTATTGAGAAACCCATGGCTAGGGTCAGGCGCACCATAGTCCTCAGCTCTTAGTTTAGCTAGTCTATAATTATTCCACCAGAAAGGAAGTCTCAGTTGAGTAATGTAGATAGTTCTCAGTATGAAGGGAAATTTAAATCACATCTTCCACTCCAGAAAAGATGCAGAATGCTATGGAAATTTTTGATACAAATTAGTGAACTGAACACATGAGATTACACATTCATAAAGAGTCCACTTCTCTTGGTGATCCTGGCTCCCCCATTGACTGCTTGAATAATATTTGGGGTTGATTGCCTTGATTCAGATGCAGATGCCTGAGTCCTATCCTCAAGGATTCTGATTTGATGTGGTAAATGGGCAATGGGATTTTTGAAAGCTCCCCAGGTGATAATATGCAGCAAAGTTTGAAAACACCAGTTTAATATGTGTCCTTTCTCTTGGATACATCATTTGGTGTGTAAGTAATAATCATCCCTGAAATTGATGCTGCAAACCTAGTTTATTTATTGATTTATCTTTCTAACTTTTATTTTATGTAATCTAAGATAACATTTCACCCCTTATCTGGCTGTTTTTGTGAAGAATGGGCGTTCCAGAACACTTAGCTGTGCTCATTCAGAACAAGGGGATGATACCATGTTGTTTAAAATCAGGAAAGGTGTATGGCATACTTATTCAGTCTGTATGCTGAGTAAATTATCAGAGAAGCTAGGCTGTGAGAAGGAGGACATGGCATCAGGATTGGAGGAAACCTTATTAACTTAACGATATGCAGACAACACAACCTTCTTGCTGAAAGTGAAGGAAACTTGGAACGTTTGCTGACGAAAATAAAAACTACAGTCTCAGCATAAAACTAAAATCCTCACAAATGGATCTATAAGTCACTTCAAGATTAATGGAGTTCTTGGTCTTAGTGCCATCTTGTTAGAAACCTCCGCGCAATGAGAGCCAAGTAGAAGAAAAAGCAAACATGCAGGCTAAAGCGCAAAAGAAGAAAGATGAGGCAGAGGTTCCCGTAAACGCTAGCGTGTACACCCACAGAAGCCACAGCAGCAGGAATATGGGTGGCAGAGGGCACGACACTGGGACAGTTGTTGACTATGTGCTACTGTCTAGAACTTCTGGCTCAGTGGATCTACAGCTTCCATCGCTATTCCGTAAACGCTACGAACACCTGAGACCCACCTTGCTGTACCAATTCAGTTCATTTTGATCCTTTGTCTTGGACCTGTGATATTCTGGACTAATTCTGTTCTCAGTTGTGGTGGGATGTAACGTGTACAATAAATCATCTCTTCTGTCTTAGCTGAAGAATCAAAAATAAAAGATTAAATGGAGAAAATGTTGATTTTTAAGGATTCATATTACTGGAAATAAAATCCATGCCTATAGAAGCAGCAGTCAAGAAATCAAGTGACATATCAGAATGGACAAACCTGCTGCAAAAGACCTCTTTTGTCTTCAAAATTAAGGACGTAAGTTTGAGGAATAAGGTGTGCCTGACTCAAGCCATGGCATTTTCCGTCACCTCACATGCATGTGATAGCTGGACAATGAATAAAGAAGATCATGGAAAATCATCCAACAATATCATTAATATCACACGCAAGTAAAAATTTGTTGATGATAATTTAAAAGTGGCTATAACAGTACATCGACACGGAACTGCCAGAAACTCAAGCTAGATTCAGAAGAGGATGTGGAAATAGGGATATCATTGCTGATATCAGATGAATCTTGACTAAAAGCAGAAAATACCAGAATTAACTTTACCTGTGCTTTATTGACTATGCAAAGGCTTTTGATTATGTGGACCATGACAAACTATGCAAAGAATGAGTATTCCAGAACACTTCACTGTGCTCATTAGGAACTTATACTTAGACCAAGGGGCAGACATTCCAACAGAATAAGGTGATACTGATGGACTTAAAATCAGGAAAGGGGTGCTCCAGGATTGTAATCTTTCACCATACATGGGATTTTAACTTGGAGTGTGCTGTAGATATGCTAATGATGGTGGGATAGTTTGAAAAGAGAGAGAGATGCTGGGTGCACAACTTGAAGAATAGAATCATTATCACTGAAGTGGACATGTAGAAGCAGATAAAATATTGCATGTGTTCTTATATATGTTGCTGTTAAGTGGCATTGAGTCCATTTCTACTCATAGCTATCCTGCATCGAGTTTCTGATGAGTTTGAACTGCTGACCTTGTGATTAATGCTTATCCTACACGCCACACTACTTAAAAAGTTCGTGCACAACTAAATACATAGACTACACTAAATGAAGTCAATGTTTAATCAAGTTTGGCAGCACCTTAATTGTACTTATAACCCAAAGGTAAACAATGACATGTATGGAATATATATGGTGGTGTTGGGTCCTGTCAAATTGATTTCAACTCATCGTGATCCCATATGGTAGAGCAGAACTGTTCCATAGAGTTTCCTAGGTTCTAATCTTGATGGAAACTGATTGCCAGCTCATTTCTCCCAGAGTCACTAATTAGGTTTGAACCACCAACTTTTCCTTTAGCAGCTAAGTGCTTAACTATTGCACCACTAGGGCTCCTTGTGGAACATATGTTGGTGTTGTTAAGAGTTGTTGAGTCAGTTCTGACTCATGGGATCCTGTATAGGATCAAGGAGCTGCTGGTGAGCTTGAACCACCCACCTTGTGGTTCAAGCTGACCTTGCAGTCCAGCACATTAACCCACAGCACCACACCAGTAAATCTTGAACCCAGTTTTCCTCTTGTCAGTTCCTGCTGCTGTGGATGGGGCTTTGGCTGCAGTCAGGTATCTGCTACTCCAGCTGTGAAGAGGTGGGGAGTCCTCTGGCCTTCCTCAGCTGGAAGACTGACCGCCAAACCCCATTCTCCAGACCCCTCTTCTGCTGCGGATCCTTTGGAGAGGTCTCTTACCATCCCGTGTTTTATCTGTTCGGTGCCCAAACAAGGATGAAGAATTCAACCACCAAATAAATCTGCCTGTCATTAGTCTGTTAATTGTGTCAGCTGTCTTGTTGTTTATTAGGTGAGTGGCTTGCCACCCCCGGAGCTGACATGGCTACTCAAAGGCCAACCTGTGCTACCAGACGCCTCCCACAAGATGCTGGTCAGGGAGACCGGAGTCCACTCTCTGCTCATTGACCCGCTCACGCAGCGGGATGCAGGGACCTATACGTGTGTTGCTACCAACAAAACTGGGCAGAATTCCTTTAGTCTGGAGCTCACTGTAGTAGGTAAGTTTTGCTGTTAGGAGGTCTAAACATAACTCTCTCCAAAGGTATGTCCACATATGTAGAGTTTCTGACAGAATACCAAAACCAATCTCAGTTATCCTGTCATTGTACTAAAGGTAAATACTGCCTACATTGTTTTCAAAGTCAGATTGATAAACTGAAAACTCAACCTGGTTTCTTGTACATATTATGCTTGCAATAAATGGGAGCCATTCTAAGTTAACTGACTGAGTAATCAATTGACTACCACTGAATTTAGATCCCTCATCTCACACTTTACCATCACTGGAACACACCAGGCTCTAATATTTCCCTCAAGTTTGTATCCCTTGCCTTTGTATCAGTGGTGCCTTGGCCTCGAATGCCTTCTGTTTGGTAACCTCTTATCCATCCTTGAAGGCCTAACAAATGTCACCACCAAGGCACAGTGGATCCAGCAGGCACAGTTACTCCTTCCCTGCTCCTCTGTGTTTCCATGACATTGGGGACAGAAAGAGCACTTACAGCCTTCTGTGTAACTGTTTGTGTCTCTGCCTCCCAGAAAAGGCTGAACTTCTGAGGACAGAGATTCTGGCTTGTTCTTCTGGGCATCCCAGTGTCTGCCAGGGACAGGAAAGCTACTCACCCAATGCTGAAATATTAACTCAAATGGACTTTGACCTTAGAAGATGATATGAATAAAACACTATAATGCCTACAGAGAAGGACAGCAAGGTGTTGTCACTTGGGAAGGACTCACCAGAATTTGGTTCCAGAATTCAGGAATTCTAACAGTGAGATTTCTCTTGCTGTCCCCCTAGCGTGGATCCTGAAGAAGTCAGGTGGCTTCAGCATGACAGTCCTCTCCAATAATGGCCATTTCCACATGATATTTTTTCCCTTTTCTCTTAATTTCAATGTGTGCTAACAAAGTAGGACATACTTACTGAAGACTTTTACCATTTTTCACTATTTTGCTATAGTATTAAATGTAAAACTCTGAGATATGACATATCTTTGTTTTAATTGGTACTGGCCAAAAAAGACACAAAACTTCTTAAGAAGCATAATTTTGCCTGTGCTTTTAAAATAGTATAATTCTTTTAACTAGTCTGTAGACCTGGAATTTTTCTAAGTAAAACATGGTGGGGAGGATTAATATATGGTCTACAAAATAAGTCTCTCTTTAAAAAGGATTAATTTTAGTCATTTAAAAAATATTATTTCTCAAGATTTACTGTTGAACAATTATTTTTAAAAAGATATCAATTATCCACATACCATTGTCAGCCAGTGTGAGTAAGTTCCATGAGTACTGTCTGACCTGGGGAGGGGGGGGAGGGACAGTTAATTTTTAACATTTATGGAACGTTTATCAATTCAGTAATTCTGACTAAGAAGAGTGAGAGATATTCTGAGGAGGAGATAAGTTTGGGGCATGCTCACTCTGCTAAATTACAGAATTGTAGTGAATTTGGGAGATGAACCTCAAGGTACTCACAATTCAAACAAGAATGACCTTTCTCCCATTCAGCCAAAGAGGTGAAGAAAGCACCTGTGATCCTGGAGAAACTGCAGAACTGTGGTGTTCCCGAAGGCCACCCAGTGAGACTAGAGTGCCGTGTAATCGGCATGCCCCCGCCTGTGTTCTTCTGGAAGAAAGACAATGACACCATCCCATTCACAAGAGAGAGGATCAGGTACGGCACCTGCCCACCACGTTCAGAGGGACTTCCACACTCGGTGGGATTTCTGTGCTAGCCTTTTGATTCTAGCATCATGCGCTGGAGGTTCATCCATGCTATTGTGTGTATTACTCCTTTCCTTTGCTTAGTGGTGGTCCATTGCATGACTAGCCTCAGTTTTCAAAATATAAACGAATTTATAAATATTCTGTATAGTTTTTAGCATGTGTCATCAATCATATCACTGTTAGGTGGATGAGGCTGTTACAACTCATAGTGACCTTGTGTACAGCAGGACAAAACACTGCCTGGTCCTGCACCATCTTCACAATGTTTGAGTCCCTTGTTGTTACCACCATGTCAGTCCATCTCACTGAGGGTCTTCCTCTTTTTTACTGGCCCTCTACTTTACCAAGTATGATATCCTCCTCCAACAACTGGCCTTTCCTGACAATGTGTTCAAAGTAAGTGGGAGGAAGTTTCACCATCCTTGTAAGGAGCATTCTGGCTGTACTTCTTCCAAGAAAGATTTGTTTATGCTTCGGTTATATTCAATATTCTTCACCAACACCACAATTCAAATGCACCAGTCTTCTTCAGTCTTCCCTTTTTCATTGTCCAGCTTTCACAGGCATATGAGCCAATGGAGAAGACAATGGCTTGGGTCAGGTGTACCTTAGTCATCAAAGTTACGTCTCTGATTCTTTTTTTTTTTTTAAGCTTTTATTGGGAATTGAGTGATAGTTTACATGGAGAACATCATTTTATTGCAATGATTACAATCCCTTCAGTAAGTCATCATTCAACAGCATTTACTTCTATTCCCTTTTTTTGTTTTTTCACTGTACACAAAAACACGCAGGAATATATAACCATTTAAACAACCTAAGGACACATTCTACAAACCTATCTCCTGGTTGCCAGCACACAGTAGTTCTCTTTCCATGACTTTACAGTCCTCAGCAGCAATGTCTCTCCATGTCATCATCTCTGCTTCCGTCCCTGGTGTCACAATGTCTTTGATTCTTAACACTTTAAAGAGTCATATTGCTGTTGTTGTTAGGTTCCATCAAGTCAGTACCAACTCATAGCCACCTTATGCACAGCAGAATGAAACACTGCCAGATCCTGGGCCAACCTCACTATCGTTGCCATACTTGAGCCCATTGATGCTGCCACTTTGCCAATCCATCTCACTAGGGGTCTTCCTTTTTCTCTGACCCTCCACCTTACCAAACATGATGTCCTTCTCCAGAGACTGGTCCATCTTGACAATATGTCTGAAGTACGAGAGACAAAATTTGGCCATCCTGGCCTCCAAGGAGCACTCTGGCTGCACTTCTGCCAACACAGATCTGTTGGTTTTTTTGGCAGCCCATGGCACTTTTAATATTCTCCTCCAACACCATAACTCAAAAACATCAATTATTCTATGGTCTTCCTTATTCA